GTTTTTGGCATGATCTTTCTCTCTTGGCCCCTGTTTTTCTCTAATTTTCCCCCTTCTTTCAATCCCTAGTGAACTAATTATTTTTGTTGTTTTTAGATCCTTTGAAACCATTCTTCCAATGCTATTTGGCACAGTTGTTTGATGATCTTCCACTTGCTCTAGGTGGGACAGCTCTCCATTTGAACCTGAAAGACAAGAGACGGACGAAAAACGATGAGAGATTTTAGAAAGGTCAGAAACTTGAGGATTAAGAGAACCTGAAGCAAACCGGGTGGGAAAGGTCCTGGGAACAAAAGGCTGGCGTGGCGAGAGTTGGGAGGGTAGGCTGGTGATTCTCTTCCTTGTCTATGAACGAGGCTATCCGAGTCTAAGAATTTCCCGTACTCTGGATTGATCAGTTGGGTTTGTTCTAGAATCTCCACACTTCCCAGATTTCCTTCCCTGCAAAAAGCTTCTGGGCCCTTTCTAAAGCTTTTTCTTAAGGATTTGCTTCACTTTCTATTGCATACGGGCTGTCATCGTCCCCTAAATCGTCTTCTTCATAGCCAGACGAGCCATCAGAACTGGTTGAAGGGGTTGGAGCTCTGAAAGCATTTCCTTTTTGGTGACCCGAGCTAGGGGGTCTCAGGCATTGGTTGCCCAGAGAAAGAGGGAGTCTCCTGGGGGCTCAAGAGGAAAAGGTCCATATGCAAAGGAGAGTTACGAACCTCTAAGGGATGGCCCAAAACTTTAAACCTGTTGGGGTTTGGGTTTTGGAGCCTGGGTCTTGGGTGGGGGGTTCTTCGAAACATTGGATGCCTTTCTAGAGGGATGTTGAGACTCTCCAAAATCTGTCTTCTTTTTGAACACCTGCTCCTCTCTAGCCTTTAAGGGGAAAATTCCCACCTAAGTTTCTGCTCTGAGCCCTGCCACCGACTTAACTTCCTTCTTATGGCTCTTGCCGATCTATCACATGTCTGATCAGCAAGGAAGTGATTGCCACATTGTTATGGTTCAAAACAGGCTTAGCCTTGCCTACGCTTGGCAGGCTTACGTTAGGGACATGCCCGTCATTTTCGCCTGTAAGATTTTTRGRAGAAYTGATGTCATCTTCAGGCAGACCACCAAAAGCTTAACGTACTCTTTGAGGAGGGGTGGTCGACCTCCTTGGGTGCCTAACCTTGGCACTCCTAGACCTTCATCCCCTTGTGGGGTGGCCCTGGTTAACGGCTAGCATAGCTACCAGGGTTCCTCATGGGTGCACACTTGTTCATGGGGACAGTGTTGGACCGGCATTGCGCTACTGATACTCAAGGGAGGCTTGGCATGCGGGCCTGGCTCAAGCATGTCCCTTCACCTCGCCAGCCCCTTGCCCAAGCTGATTGAGCTATCCCGTTGCCCCTAGCGCACGGGTGTGTTCCGGCC